TGGCTGAGTTTCATGTTTAATGAATAAAGTATATAATTATTATAATAATAATATTCTAAAATCCAGCATTGTCTCTTCATGGCCCCCCTGTCAATAATCTTCCTGTTTAGAAAACATGAATTTGAATAGTTGTGTGACAATCTATCATGACTCTATTGGTAATAATTATTAATAGGGATCCAAATGAGGAAACTAACTCCATGGTGGCTTGTCTCTCCTGGTGTTCCACTTCACATTATGACCACAAAAGTAGAAACTAACTATGGGGGGGCTTTAGGCCAGTGTTGAGCCTGGGTGACTGCCTGCAGTTTTCTTGGCAAGATTTTGGAAGTGCTTTACCATTTCCTGCTTCTTAGAGTTGAGAGAGTGATTGGCCTAGGTTATCCTACTGGCTTTGTATCTAAGTCAGGACTAGAACACATAGTTTCCTTGGCTTCTAGTTTGATGCTTCCATCATTACACCAAACTGACCCATAGTTAAACTCCTAAAATTGGCCTTTTTATTTAAAATGGGATTGGTTGAAAATAGAAATAATAACCCTTACTGTGATGTGGGAATTTGCTACGTTTTGATATATTCTACTAGTGGAAAATAATGATCTTTTTTTAAAAGAAAAAAACAGAAATTGACTGATTGAGCGGCAGTTATGAAAGAACTGGCTTAGTTGATTAGCACTAATACAATAATATAATCAGATATATATGGACTGTAGTTCTTTGCCAACATGATCCTCTCCAGGAGTTTGTTTGTATGTATCTGGAGCTTAATATTGTCAGTATTATTATATTTGTGTCACAAGGCCAGAATCCATGTAAAAATTAACTGTAAAACTAGCACTGATGAAATGATGAATAGCAATTTAAATTCAGATCTAATACCTTCTGGTAGAAGTAAACATGATAAAATGTTCTATTTTGTATTTAATCTACCTTTCCCCAAGATGCTTCCATGAAATCATCTTAATGACAAAATATAATTTAGTTTTCTGAAAGTTGTATTAAATAATGATATTACAGGAGTCTTTATTTGTGGGAAGAATTTTAAACAGAAGACAAACTAGGTCACTATAAGGTTTTCCAGAACAGAAAGCCAGGATGTGGAACAAATAAATAAAAGAATAAATAATCAGTTTTCTGTATTCAGGATTGTTGTTTTCATCTGCATAGCTTCTAGTTTTTTTAAATATTTCTTTATTTTTAATGTAAAAGTATTGTTAACTTCCAGTTCAATTATAGATATGTTTACTTGGAATCTCTCTGTGTCAAATTTAAAGTAAATGGACATGACTTTATTAATATAATTTTTATGTTATAAAATGAAATTCTATTTTAGCAAACTTTGGAATAATTTGGTAATAGACATGTGCAAACAATTTATATACATTTTGAATTACAGAACACTATTTTTTAGTTTGAAATGAAAATTGGAGAATGAGGCAGTTTGTCCTATTTGTATTACTTTGGAAATGTTTCAAGGTCAAAAGAGTTTCAAGATAATTGAAAAACTTGTTTCACAATTGTTGGACCATGCTGTAATGCCGCAATGACAGTGGATATCTAACAATGATGTTATTCCTTCATTGATTCCAAAGCCCTGATATCATGGTATTTTTGTATTTCAACCATATTGAACAATGAAAACATGCTTTTAAATGTAAATCATGACCAAATTAAAAGTACATGTTTTTCCCCTCTTAACCTCATTTCATTTCTGTTGGGTTCTGTTGATGTTTCATTACTCAACTAGGTAACGTCAGTACACAGCAATTACTGTGCCTAATTGGTAATAAAATGTCTGCAAGCAAACATTCA